GCAAAAACACACTCTACTTACCTGAATGCCAGCTAACATAATGCCTAGTTCACGACGCCAGATATATTGAAATTGATCAGGTGGGATTACTTCATCTGGATAATTAATGACTGTACCCATTTTGAAATCACATATGTTTGGATGTTTGAATTCGGCTACCAGATCAGATAAAGCCATGTAATAAGCTGTTATAAACAAAAAAATGTTTTTAACATATCGCTTAATGTCAATAACTATTGATCAATATGAAAAGTAATTTAGAGGTACTGGGACAGAGTCATTTCTATCACTCCACATGTCAATGCTGCTAGTTTTATGAATACATCAAATACGATTGAATCAGTTACTTGATCACTGAACATGATCACCATGATCGATAATAATCTGTTTCAGATCATTTGTGAATGTTCGGTTACCCACAGTAGTCCATTCTCGAATCCCAGTGTCAACATCAACAACATTGAGTATGTGTGTATACTCAACTGATCAGTATCAATTAAGACATTATATGCATCCTGAACTGATCTGTTACTCAAAGTCTAAATATACTGAACACATTTGAGACAGACAATATTTCATCGAATTTTGAAGAATAGATAGGTATAATTTGTGATTATATCGACTACTACTATTACAACAACACTTCAAATCATGAGAAAACAACTCTCCTCTTCCTTAGACTCGACTACTCCACAGTAAACAGCATTCAGAAGAGATTTACTTGGCAAACACCCTTGGATGATTCAAATTTCATTGCAGTGCGTTCAAATACATGTCGATCAAATTCAATGATTTTTAGTGATGACAGTTATCTATCGGAACATTTATCATTTCCGCACACAATCATTTTGAACTGACCAACTAAAATGACAATGCAGTGAAGACCAAATGAACAAGTTTCACATCGAAGTCAAGAGAGAATCTTTCACTTGATTTATTTTCACTGAATTATATTCAGGGTTTAGACGTCGCCAACAACACAACTGTCATTTCAAATCCAAGGGTGATAGCAATAATAGAAGTATTAGCAGTAATCCAGAGAATTAGGGTCCGAATATGTGATTCGAGAAGTATAATTCAGTGAGATAAATTTAGAAGGAGAAAGACAGAGATGATGAGGAATTCAGAAGGTTAGAATTTCATAGAACACAAAGAGTGGATGCACCTGCGACATTGCAAACGGTTTTCAGTCATGTCATTCAAGGTCTCTAAAGATTGGTGACTTTCGTCTCGCGGACCCCAACTGGGTAGTCTACATCTACCAACATCACTCAGTCCACTTGTCATTGACTTCATGAATTTGTGCCATGTTTTGGTTTGGCCGCCACTAACTTTCTTCCAATCTACTCCTACACCACAAAACATGGTTCGTCATGGCAGTCGGTGGTTAGGCATATGTAACACATGTCCCAACCACCTCAACTGATGAAGTTTCACTACTTCATCTATGGATTTGCCATCTCTACCTAGAACTCGTTTCCCAACCACAGCATTGCTTATACGGTTGTCCCAGGATATACGAGCAATGCTTCGGAGACACCGGCGACTGAACACTAGTAACCTACGAAAGTCTTCTACCCTTAACGGCCATGTTTCGCATCCGTAGAGTAAAACGGAGCGAACTGCTGCACTGTACACTCGTCCTTTGGTTAGCAAGCAGATATGTCGCCTGAACCATATGTGACGCAGGCTGGCAAAAGTCAATCGAGCCTTCTGTATCCGAGCTGAGATTTCGTCAGTTACCAAGCCATCAGCACTGACGAGATTTCTCAGATACTTGAAGCGGTCTACACGTTTGCATTTCAAGGGTGAAAACCACATCAGTCAGTTCGTTATACACAAATGAAAACCTAGCCTAAATGTACAGCCAGTTCAAATCATCAGCACTTCATTTGTTAGAGCAATTCTTACAGTAGTACAGGCGAAAAATCAATTATTCAAAATAAGATTTGCAAATAAAACTCAAATTCATGAAATAAAATAAAACTTAAGAAATAAAAACAATTTGGAAACTTTATGATTTAGAAAAATACTATAAATAAACATATCTGAGTCATGTTGTACAAAATCTCTAATCATTCATTACAATAATTACGCTGATAGACTGACTACATTTCCTTTTCATATGACTGAATTAAACAGATTGGTGGGTAGTTTTAGTACATGAATAATACGCTAGTGCGTATAAAGTTATTGATCTGCAGCCATTGTGATAATTCATCAAATCGACCCTTTCTAAAGTGTCACATGTTTTCATCATTTACAAATTTCGCTTTTGATGAATGAATATATTGTAAAGGAATATGACCTCTGCGATAAATATGGATACTTTTGTTTTCAAAAGCTAATGAGTAATACAAATAAATGATCATGAGTCATGTAAATTTGAAAGTATAAACAATATAGATATGAACAGTGTTGGATTCTGGCTTCGTGGTTCAAAGATTGAGTGATCGCGAGCATGATCGATAGTTCTGGGTTCGAACCCTGCAAGGTGCAGGAGTCGTGGATGCGCACTGCGCACTGATGAGTCGCATACCAGGACGAAACGGCCGTCCAGTGCTTCCAGGTTTCTAATGGTGGTCTAATAATGATTGATTTATGATTTCTATGAAAAAAACTTGAATTTTTTCATTTTCTGCTTTTGTATATTTTGACTCAAATTTGTGATCCTTATGTTGATGTAATTTTAGATGACTGATGAACTGTGTCAATTTCAATGTGTTAATAGATCACTGATTTATCCAAGTTTCTAAAAATTTCCCAGATCTTCTTTGTATTCTCACTCTGTTCATAATCTTAACGAATTTCTCAGTCACGCATATGTCCATTTTTGTTCACTATGATATAAGCGAAGATACGTTATAGTGTTTGACAGCTAGTTGGAGTGCGAAGCGACACTCACCTATATAATCAATAATTGTATACAGAAAACGACACAATCAAGGTCAATAACTGACCAATCAGAAACAAAGTTCACAAAATAAGATGTTAATCATAGGTGGAGGCGTTTGAATAAGTCATTTCTACTTGAGGTATGTGTCTATGATATTGTTCAGAATAAGCTTCGGACAGCTTCAAATTCAGGTTATCTTACTGAAAGAAAAGATAATCTATTGTTCCCTCTTAGGCATATACAGCTCTAATTGAAAGTGAGTACAGTGAAGTACGGTGAAGACAAACTTTCCAAATAAGGTGTAGGAAGAAAGATTTGCATAGGAAATAATCACTGTCATTGAACATATAAACATTTTTACCTTTCGTTCCTGGACATTGATAAACTCCATAATAAGTTGGAATAAATTGACGAACACGTTTCAATGCTTCCGAAGCATCCGGTGAAAATACACGCTGATAAAACATCACTTCACGCATACCTCTTTCACGATCTTGTAATGACTTGTAGATAATTGGTTTAGATTTATCACGAAGTACTAGAGAGAAGTTGAAAATACCATTGGAAATTAGATAAATTAATTTTAAGTTTGATAGTTACATATTTTAACAGTATAAAAGTATAGATGACATTCCTATAGTTTATCGGAATACCAGCGCTGCGAGTGGTTAACACTGTTTAGTGTCTAAATCAGTGTTTACAAAATCTACAATTACAGTACAGATGTCTATAACATCCACTTTAACTTGTAGATGGTTGAAGAATAGTGACACTATTCGACGAATTGAACAAACCAAACGGAGTATGATTTGAACTTGTGACCTATTACTCGGCAGTCAACTTCATTATAACCACCGAATAATTGTCACATTTCTTGGTATGATTCATATAGCAAATGAATCTGTATGCAATCAGTGAGTTTCAGAACCTCTATGTAGTCTGAAACATGTCATGGATTGTTCTCAGTTGATTTTTCCATCCTCATTCCACTGACACATCAGTACTCTGTAACTTTCAACGAACCACAAGTCACTCGGTGAACGACGTAAGATACCCAGTTTCCAAGAAAAATATCTAAAATCATCAAATCCTCACACTCAGCTACTTACTCCGAAGATTAAAGCATTCATTTTGTAACAATAAAGTGAAGCAGATTAGATATGAATTATCTAACAATGATGCTTACAAGTCTACATATAGTGATCCAACAGTCAACAACCACTGGTATAAAACAACTTACTTTCAAAACTACTAGCATTCTCACGAGAATGACCAGCCACCTGGAACGCATAAGACTCTGTAGATGTAGGTAAAATAGGAGCATCACCAAACATCATTGATAAATCGGATAAGCATGCAGATGATTTCCTCCGAGTCCTACAATAAAACCCAATGTGTAATACGTTAACATCAACTTGATGATATTGTCTGTTTGAACAATCGGTACGGCAAAACCCTGTACATTCATTAGTCCAAACTTACCTCCTAAAGTGTGCGAGTTAGTGAAAATGGGTATTACATAGTGTAATTCAACTGAATCAGTGTAAAAACTGCCGCCTAGTTTTGACGTAGCAAACACCTTTCATTAATCAGAGATAATGAGACAGAACACTAAAGATATGACCTAAGAATCGATATAGTTTGTTATCAGTCACCACTTTTAGTTAGAATGATATTTTCAGTTTTCAAACTACGAACATTACAGTCTCACGGAAAAGTTCATCACAGTCAAATCAACATATTTTTGAATACAATAAATCAGTCATAAACATCACTCAAAATCTGTCATAAATATCGATCGATTGAAGTAGTTTCACCACTTCAATGATGAACGCGATGTGAAATTTATGAATCACTCAATTAGGTAATTGAAACAATAATAGCATGTATACAACTTACTGAACACTCATGATGGTTGCAATAATAAAAAAAACGAATTTTTTTTTTAGAAAAAAAAAAACGTGTTCATTTTTATAAATAAAATACAATTTCATGATTGGATGATTCATTCATAATGTATGACCAATCACAGATTAAACTGAGTCAAGGTTATGGGCATTTAAACTAAAATCATGATTGGTCAATTCATCTATGTATTAATAATTAACATCTGATCATCAGTTTATGATCGAGGTTTAACTTCGAACTAGAGTATCCGATATTTTGTAGTTTCATATAATTAGTCTAGAAAAAAATTGTACGTTTCAAAGCTTGTAGTAAAGAAAATTTGTAGCTAAGGTGGATGATTGTGGTGATGTTTCACTCTCTGAGCTAGATATTTTGGTTGCAGAGCTTACATGGTTCTTCTGAACAATATCATCATCAAAAACTTCAGACTCCAATCACAGCTTATAGTTTTTGTCATTCGAATCTGTCTCTTCTTGTCTTGTTTACGATAGTTTTATATTTTCAGTTATAGTTTTGGAGATTTGTGTTTTTACTTATTTGAAATCATCAGTCAATCATTGTTAGTTCTAGTGAGAGGACGTGACCATTAGAGTTCAACCCTGTCGGGTGTAGGCAGTAACTACCGAAGACAAATGGATGAGGTCGCACATAATCTCTAAATCGATCACAGTCAGACATTAACACCGTTGGATGCCGGCCCAGTGGTCCGGATGTTAGGCGTTCACACGCAAGACCGAAGGTCCCGGGTTTGGATCCTGCGAGGTTCAGGAGTCGTGGATGCACACTGCCACTGATGAGTCCCATACCAGGACGAAACGGCCGTCTTTCAGTGCTTCCAGGTTTCTAATGGTGGTCTAACAATGATTGTTTGATGATTTTAAATGTACGATAGCTTTATTCTTTGTCTAGTGCAGTACAACTGGTTTCCGGTCTAGTCGTACTTTCGGTTATGTGTACATAGGACGTATTGCCTGAACAGTTTGTGGCAACTATCTTCAATCTTTTACATTTATGTCGTGAATTTAAGACAAGTTATAATATACTGTAAAATCATCTTACTAGAAATGAGTGTGTTTTTTTTCTGATGAAATTACTAAATACTTGGATTATGATATCAACTTTTTCGCCTCGTTGTAAGCTGCCACTATGTAACTCATAAACCTTTATGTAGATATTTTTTACTGATTTTCAAATTATCGTTAACTAACTCTTTTCTTATTACCTGGATTTTGTGCCAATTATGGTTTAGTTATTTGTATTCGGATCAGGTATGCAATGCAATATCAGCATATGGATGTTTGGATTGTGGGTGTATTATACTCGTCACTGGATATGCTTGAAACTATTACGGGTTCACCTTAGTCAATTAACGAAAACGCGACAATCAACCAGTGACACAGTAGGCTACTCTGACCAGTTGCCCCAAAAGAACTAACGAAAAGTCTTGATACAGCGTAGAAAGTGTATTCTACAAATATTCAGCAACCTCAATGAATCAAGCACACAAAAAGCGTTTATTTATACATCATAGAAACGTCCTTGGGAGAGTCGCAAAAGTAGCGCACTAAAATAAAACAGTAACCAATCATAGCTAAGGATTTTCCAGGTGAGAAATGTGATCTCGAGGTCAACTGGTAAGCCCATAAATAAAATCCAAAATAAAGACATTTATCAAGCGAGTTCTGGGGATCTAACGTCCCCAACAGAGTGGAGTAGAAAAAAGGGAAAAATGGTCTGCTTGTTATCGTCGTCTTATGATTGAATTCAAGAATCAATAAGTGGTAAAATATTTGTTGTTTGCCCGCGGTTCTTAGGCAGTTAGTTGATGGTTCTAAAGATAATAGGCAAACTAACGGATATTTACTAACCGATTGTGATTATAATCAGTAACTCATTCACAAGATTCTAAACAAAACAAAGGGGAACTACTTTTAGAATATACAACAATGTGGTTTCATTGACATCACGAATCGATCATTGTCAGACCACTTTTAGGAATCTAGAAGCGCTAGACAGTCGTTTCGTCCTTGTATGAAACTGTTAGGATATTCATTCAATATCCTAAGATAATTGTTTGTAAGTCTAATTCTGTTGGTCAGTTCCTATTGGTTGACCTAACTGTCAATGTCACTTCAAATGTTGTTTCCTATTCGACCTAACTGTATAAATACGTATCATCTGTAACGTTTTAGGACCCGGATCGCTGATCCGGGATCGTGATTCTCTTCTGGATTTAGACTTCGTACTTTCCGAGTGCTTGTAGAGTACAGGTTCTATTTCATAACAGAAGTCTTCTTCTTTTACTCAGTGAGGGTTTGGGACACTCGAATTAGAGTAGCCTGTTGTGTCCTCAGATCATCGATGCTCAGTGCCGTTTACTTACTCGTAATAGTTCAAGCATAGCATGAGTAACAGTTACTCTTCATCTAAGATGCTCTCTCGCCGAGACTGAACCTAGGACCTACATTTTTGCTCACGAACGCTGAAATTCTAGACCACTGAGCCGGCATACAACAGTGTTAATGTCTTCGTTCCAACAGGGTTGAACTCCATTGACCAAATTTTCTTCCTAAAACTCCGAGAATTTCCATACAAAGTTAGTCAGAAGTAAACAGATTTTCATGATTTTCATTATAGAATTATCAAGATTGATGAGTTTCACCGAAGTCATGGATCGATCATTGTTAGACTATCATTATAAACCTAGAAGAACTGGTGTAAGTGCTCAGTTACCTAAAATACAGTTGCGTATTTCACATAACATCATATATCCATTACAGCTTAATAGCAAATCTAGATTTTTGTAACTTGCCGTACGTCTCCTCGAAGGTTGACCAAATATATACACAAGTCAGTGAATTTGTGTGAGGTTTTGTGTTAACTAAATGTAAATCACTAGTTTTAAAATAATCGATGGGTAAGTAAGACAATCACTTGAGTAGTGAACAATGGGATGGTGGATATGGGGCTTACTAATTCTGTGGTAATGCATACAGATAGATAGACAAACAGACAAATACAACACAGAACTTCGTGCGTACATACATCAGTTCAGGTTGCCATACCACATTAGCACAGAGATGTAACTGTCAGTTCCAAGCCCATAGTGGTAACGATAGTAGAAATATTAGCAGTAATGGAGAAGATTAGAGTTCGAAGTTATGATTCGAGAAATATAATTCACTGAAAGAGAAAGATAGAGATGATGAGGAATTCAGAAGATTAGAATTTAAGCAAACACAAAGAGTGGATGCACCTATTATACTCAAGTATACATGTTCATGCAAGCTCATTACAATGGTACAGACAAGTTGTTACTGTTCAAATGATACTGTCTGATTAAATAAAAAGGCTTAGCAAAATTAAACATAAACAAATTCAAATTTAGTTGAGTTACTATAGTTTCTGCATACTCTGATCATCATCAGTAACAAGTTTGTAAAACAACGTTCATACAAGCATTCAATGAAAGAATTCTCATGAATAAATAGTAGTGCCCTGTTACAATTACAGATTTCAAAGACACTGTAAAATACCGAAATTATGAAATCGACAAATTATTATACTGTACGTTGAAATCATCAATCAATCATTGTATTAAACCACCATTAGAAACTTGGAAGCACTGGACAGCCGCTTCGTCCTGGTATGGGACTCATCAGTGGCAGTGAGCATGCAAGACTTCCGCAACAAGTAGGATTCGAACCTGGGACCTTCGGTCTTGTGAGCGAACACAAGAAAGGATTATCAGCGACGAGAACTCGGTTGTTATCAACTACATTCAAACATCGACTTTCATCTTTAGGTTGTGTTTTGAGAATGTTGTTCACGTCTCTCACAGTCTACCAGCTCTGAGGTTGAGTAGGAAAAGAGAACAGTCGGTCATTCGATTGTATGGAACAATCGTATTAGAGTGACATCTGTCAGTTCATCACTACACTTCGATTCCAGTTCTACAGAATGTGTAACTTGGTGAATTGAAATATCATCAAACACAACTCAGAATAGAATCGATCGACGATTCTCATTCAGTTTACTTTCACATTCCTAATGCACTTGTTAGGAAGACGATTAAATGAGAAGAGCTGTCATTCTGTCTCACATTCAATGACTGTATGCTTTCTGTCTACCAAATACGTCTTCTTCAACTCGTTTATTCAACAACGAGGACTAAAGTACCATCAACAAACGGGTCAACCGTTATCTCAATCATCACTAATTGTTGGTGACATTAAATCCTTGAATACAATTTAGTAAGAAGAAATTAAGCGAAAGATTCTGTTTTGACTTTGGATATGACTTTTATTCAATGTGAAACTTGTTCATTTGATCTTCACTGCATTGTCATTTTGAAACGACTTTGTGAAGAAAAGATAATTGTTCCGATAGATAAGTGCTATCACTAAAAATCATTGAATTTGATCGACAT